GGAGCCCCGCCGGGTGGGGGAGGGGGGGCGGTTTGCAGAAATGGGGTTCCTTGCCCAGACTGCCTGCCTGCCATCAAGTGCCCTTTAATGGGCCTGTAAAGACCTAATGATGACCCTTAATCTGGGGCCTGATGGCCGGGCTCCGCAGCCATTACCATGTGAAAGGCTCCTTTCGGGTCTCTTTGTGCTCTTTGTACCCAGGGCTGTTAGGAGCTGCCCTTCCCCAGAGTATCCTGCCACCAGGAAAGTCCCCCCTGGCTTTGAGGGGTCCCACGTCCCCAGGCACTGGGGAGGCACCAGGACCAGCTCCCCGGTCCCGGTGCCCAGGAGCCCGAGGTGACCACGTCTGTGGCACCGCAGGGACGGTGGGCTGGGTCTGCCCAGGGCTGCTCCAGCTCTCCACTCCTGGGGCCACGGGGCAGTGCTCCCCAGGGCATGGCCCGTGCTGGGGCACCCATGCCAGGGCACCCACTCCTGCCCACTGGAGAGCTCCAGTGGGACCTGGCCAAGGCACAGGGGGGAAGCAGAGGGGTTGGACCATCTCGGGGTTTGATGAAGGATGTGTGTAAAAGGCTCCTCGCAAGGAACTGCACATCCCGGGCATGTGTTGGATCCCACCCTGCATGCACGGGGTGTCCCCCGGCCGCTCTGCACCCGCCATACCGGAGCCAGCCCGGGGCACTCATACACAGTGAAGTCTCCATCCTCGTTCTCCTCATCCGACGATGCCGAGTCCGGCAGCTTGGGCTCCTCTTTATGCCTGGGGGGAGAGGATGCAGAGAGGGTGTGAAGCCCAGGGGTAAGATTGATGACACCCCAGTTAAAGGCAGGGCACGGACACGTGGCTGGGTCTGCTGTCTGCTCCCGGGAGCTGCTTACTTCTCCATGGAGAGCATCTGCTGCTTTTGGTGCTGGTAGTGGTACATCTGGGCACTCTGAGCCAGCGTCTTGTCCCCGGGCTGTGGAGAGAGCAAGGACAGCTGTGGAGGCAGGGCTGCGGAGAGCCCCCAGCCCAGCTGGCGGGTGTCTCCCACCATGTTGGAAGCCCCTCAAGCAGAGTACATGCCTGGCCCGAGCACCAAACACCCTGAAAGGAGGGATGCGGGCGCCTTACCGAGATCTTGTCGTAGGGTAGGGGACTGGCCACTCTCTGTGCTGAGTAGTCTGCTTTCTGCGCCAGCCTGACCTCCTTCTGCAGCCTGCCAGGGGAGAGAGCGGTCGCCAGGAGCCGGCTCCATATGGGAGCCAGCAACCCCCCAGGGGTCTCAGTCCTCCCACCTGCATCCCTGTTCCCTGCGATGGCACCCACGACAGGCGGCATCCCCAGGCACAGCCACCTCCATCCTGTGGGGCCTGGGCACGAGGCACCGCCATGCCAAGGGTGTCAGCGCCCAGCGCCACAGTGATGCCCAAACCAGGTGCCACCTGCTCCCAGGAGCCTGTGCCTGGCACGAGGGTGTCCCACTGCTGTCCTCCAGCCCCGACTGGCAGACGTCCTATCCCAGTGGTCCCAGTCGCCATGGCACGTCTGCATGGGACTGGCAAGGGCAGCTATTACCTCTCCTCCAAACCCCGCCACATGCCCGGGAAGCACAGGAACACACTCCCGTGGGCATGAGGACACTGAAGGACTGACTGGCACCAGCAGCCCCTGGCTCACCTGCACCAGCACACCGCAGCCACGATCAGCGCTGAGATCCCAGCCACCGTGCACACCACGATCAGCCCTGCAGAGGTGGAGGGGGGGACAGAGGGACAGTGGGTGAGCCCGGTGGCACAGTGCCACCAGCCCACGCTTCCCCAGCAAGGACGTGAAACCCCGTCCCACGAGCCGCCTGACCCCGGGGTCTCACCGAGCACCATGCCATCATTTGAAGGGATGGGGGATGCCTCCACTGGGTATTTCTGGACTGTGGCAGTGGTGAAGGTGGGGAGGGTGGCAGCTGCCTTGCCGCTGGCGTGACCCCGCTGCAGAAGCCCTTCTTTCAGCCCACTGGCCACGTGCTGTCTGCTGCTGGCAGGGACCAGAGTGGCTGCAGGAGAAGGTAGAGCTGTGAGCAGAGCAGCACCCAGGCAGCTCTGGAGGGCAAACCAGCCCGGGGTGCAGGGTCTGGCTGCCACGAGGACCCAGCACCGCTGCGGAGAGCGGTGGGAGCAGGCACTTACTCCTGGGCTTGGCATCCCGCAGCGGGTGGGGGCGACCTCTTGCTTGGCCAGCACATCCGCCAGAAAATCGATTTCTTTCTCCAAGCTGGGAATGGATGTTCGTCCTGCACGGGGGGAGAGCGGGCATCAGATCGGCACCCCGGGATGTGGCTGCGTGTCCAGCCCCGGGG